GGGGGGGGGGGGCGCATTAAAAAGCCTTCCCAGCCAAGTGCAGCACACCAAAAGCGATGTAGTTTGCTGTGTTGTCAATAGTAAAGTGACTGTAACTTCAGAAAAGTTGGGCAGATGCAGACATAAGGTAAGAGATGGGAGGAGGGCACTAGCGACCCTTCGTGGTTTAAGCTGCTTTGTGCTTCTTAGGATGACTCAGACATTCCAGTGGATGATGAATGCTGCAAAAATTTGTGTACTGCCAGGTGGTGATGGCACATGCCTTTAATCCCAGCACTTGGGAGGCAGAGGCAGGCCGATTTCTGTGAGTTTGAGGCCAGCCTGGTCTACAGAGCTAGTTCCAGGACAGGTTCCAAAGCTACAAGAAACCCTGTCACAAAAAACAAAAACAAAAACAAAAAAAAAATTTGTACTGATTGTAAACTAAAGCAGTAAGGAGGGGATGGCATCTACAGATACAGTCTGAGGCTGGAAGTGTCTCAGTGATACAGTGTTTGCTTAGCACGTGCGAGACCTGGGTTCAGTCCCCAGCTCCACCATAAATAAAGAGGCACAGGAATAAATAAATAGCTCGAGGTTAATTTGGAAGACTTCGGAGAATGTGAGATTTGAGGGAAAGGAGGATGTTGAGAGTGAGTCCCCGGCTGTGGGCAGGAAGCTGCAGCGGCTAACTGTTGCCCACATTGGTCAGTAAGTCCTAAACACTTGTTCTTAGACCAAAGGAAGGCTTTGTCATGCTTCTGAGCCTCACCCAGGCAAGATCTCACCATTCCCAGGAGCCCGAGGCACTGGAGATCCTGGCGTGGTTGTGCCTGTGTCAACAATACATGTTTACTCAGAACTTTATGTGCTCCCCACAGGATCCGAGGCCTTCCTCCAACTTCCTCAGGCACCAGGCACACGTGTCATACACATACATGCAGATAGGCTAAACGCCCATACACATGAAATAAATAAATCAAAAGGAAAAAGGAGAAGCTGGTGTGGCTAGGAATGGTAGCAGGTACTTGTAATCGCAGTGCTTGGGAGACAGAGGCAGGAGGATCTCAACCTCAAGGCCAATCTGAGCTACACAACAAAGCAGGGGGGGGGATGAGACACGGACGGACAGACCATAGCTAGTGGGACTGCAGAGCTGACCAGGGGTCAAGAACATGGACTGCTCTTCCAGAGGACCCAAGTGTGTTTTGCAGCACCCAAGTCAAGCATTGCACAATCACCTGTTACTCCAGCCCCAGAAGGATCTAAAGCCTCTGGCACCTGCGTGTGTGCGCGCACACACACATACACACACACACACACACACACATACACACACACACGCAAGGATAAATCTGAAAAAGAAATTAAAAGCAAGTCAGTGAAGATCAGAAAGGGCGGGCAGAGATGAGGAGGCCATGGGCAGAGACCTGAGGAGTAGAACTTTTTGGGGGGTGGTTTCGAGACAGGGTTTCTCTTTGTAGCCCTGGCTGTCCTGGAACTCGCTTTGTAGATCAGGCTGGCCTCAAACTCACACAGATCTGCCTGCCTGCTTCTGCTTCTCGAGTGCTGAGATTAGAGGTGTGCGCCACCACCGCCCAGCCGGTGTTTTAACAGGAATGAGTGAAGAACATAGCCAGGTAAGGCAGGACCAGAGCTGAGAAACACCTGTTTCACTTGATAAATTTTAGCCTTTGGGGGAAAAGTGATTTAAACAAGGAAAGACCACATTAGTGTGGACTGAGGAATGAACAGGAAGTGAAGAAGTAGGGACGGAAGCCAAAAACCATTAATCCCAGCATCTGGAAGGCAGAGGCATGAAAATTGTGAGTTTTATGACACCCTGTCCCAAGAGAGAGAGAGACAGAGACAGAGACAGAGACAGAGACAAAGAGATGGGGGAGGGAAAGAGAGAAGGGAAGTACGGGAGGAAAATGGCTTGCTTCCGGAGAGGCGCTGTAAGAAAGTAAGTTCAGCTGTGCATGTGGTAACACACGCCTTCAATCCCAGCACTCGGGAAGCAAAGGCAGGCAGATCTCCGAGTTCAAGTCCAGCATATCTACATAGTGAGTTCCAGGCCAACCAGGGATACACAGTAAGACCCTGTCTTAGAAACCAAACAAATAAAGAAGGAGATCCATCACTTGTCAGAAAGGAGAAGAAAATATATCCTGTTGTGTGACTTTCTGGGGACATGTAAACAACAGACCGCAGGAGCAAGAACAAGGAGTTACAGAAGTATAAATGACCCAAAGCAGGCCGTGACACCAAAAGGCCCATACCCGTGGGCGAAGATTGGTGAAAGCCCCATCTCTGCCCTCCCATCTCTGCCCTCCCATCTCTGACCTCCTATCTCTGATCTCTCCTCATCTCTGACCTCCTATCTCTGATCTCCCATCATCTCTGACCCCCCATCATCTCTGACCTCCCATCTCTGACCTCCCATTATCCCTGACCTCCCTTCATCTCTGACTTCCCATTACCTCTGACCTCCCATCTCTGATCCCCCATCTCTGACCTCCCATCTCTG